TTGTGCCGCCACGATGTCGCCATCGCCGCCGCCGCCAGCCCCGGCCCCACCGCCGCCGCCGCCACCGCATTGCATGCCTCACCCACCGAAACGGCCGCCGCCAAGACCAAACTGCCGCCATTGTGGGCGGAGAGTCTCAACCAGCGAGTCTTCCGATGGGATCGATGTCTCTTCTATATTGTCTTCAACCAGAGTTATCGTCCATGCTGCTGAAAGAATTGCGACCGCCGCTACCAAACCGCCGCCGCCGCCGTCGCCACTGACGCCACCACCGCCACCGCCGCCGCTGCCGCCGCTGCCGCCGCTGCCGCTGCCGCCACCACCTCCGCCACCGCCACCGCCACCGCCGCCGCCACCGCCGCCGCCGCCGCCGCCAACACCAAGCTGGCCTTGGCAGCGCACGTCATCCGACCTTTTGGCCTCTGCCACTTCGGCAGCTGCTTCAGCTGCTGCATCTGCAGCGGCGGCAGCATCGGCTGCCGCAACTGCTGTTGCTGCCGTCGATTCGACTCGGTCGCCTTCAGTATCGTACTGCTGGCAGTACTATCGTCCACCTCCTTCCCAGGATGCTGTTCTGTCTTCGATAGCTGCTGCGACCGCTGCAGCTGGGACCGCTGCCGCCTCTGCAGCTGCAGCCGCTGCAGCAGCTGTTTCCGCAGCTGCCAGCAGGCCCACCCCGGTCCACTCCACTCTTCCTCACTGTTACATCTGCCGCATCCCCATCGCCACCCCCGTCTCTCCGGTGGGACCTCCCCCACCTCCCCTGCCGCCGCATCTGCCCACCGCACCGTACCATCCCCCATACCGCCGCAGGTCCACCGGTGTGGCCGTCACAACCCCTACCAACACCACCACCGCCGCCACCGCCACTGCCATCGCAGCCACCGCCGCCAGCCCGCCGACAGCAGACGCCTCCGTGACAATGAGTTGAGCAAACAAACTTGTTTCAGAGACGATCAGACGCTTCATTCCGGGGCTGCGCCGACAAGAGAAACGCCTGTTTTCAGATGTTCACCGAACGCTGAAAGAGTTAACCGGGTGGGGCCGGTTTGTGTGATGTGCGATTTTCTTTTTCTCTGTTCTTTCATTCGCTTTGTTACACCCGGACCCAGCGCTCTCTCTCTCTCTCTCTCTCTCTCTCTCTCTCTCTCTCTCTCTCTCTCTCTCTCTCTCTCCCAACGTGTGTGGGCGAGTCTTTTATGCAAATATGTTGGTCGCTGCTTGCTCTTCGACCGCATCGTCACGCATGACTCGCCACTTAGTGTTCGTTACGGCTGGCGTTGACACTAAGGTATCATCAGCGCTGGACAGCAACTACATTCTCTGCAATTATCAACAGATAATGTGTACCTAAACCTAAGACTGACTGGTGAAGACGCTTCACCTGCAAGACCTTCCTGCAGTGCTGTGCCAATACGACGTGAAGCGCCATTGTGTAGTGTGTGCACTGTGCAGTAATTGTGCATACTGCATGCCTCCAAAGTTATAGGTACTTAAACGTGTGCCGTGCAAGCCCGCACTGCATAACTTGTACATTACAAAGCAAACGCTAGAAAAATGTGAGCCATATGTAATCCAACTGTTCTTTGTTTTGATGTTATCTTTAATCAAACGATGCAAATTGAACCATTACATAAGAACATATTTCAAATACAATAAATGGTGGTATGTAGTGTTACTAGTGCGTCCATTCTAGGAGGACACGTCACAACGAAACACGCATGATGTTTTCCTGTTTATGCTATGCCTTATCCCTCGCCGGCACAGGCCATTTTGCGTCCTTTGACGGCACAAGGGGGGGGGGTAGGTACGACCCCCCTCGCGTTTGGCCCCTGATCGAGCTAGAGCTTCGCGGAAAAGACGAGCGTGTTGCCCGTCACGAGAGGAAGCCGATGATACCCAATTTAAAGGTCCTAGGTCATCGGGTGACCTTCCAGGTCAGGTCAATGACCCGAAAACCGGGAAAATCGGGACCTGTTAGAAAGTCGTAAAGTGTGGCTGCTATGTGTTTTTCCGGGGTGCTGATCACGAATATCGTGTTAGTTTTGATCAGAGATTATGTCTTTAAGTATTTAGACCAGGTCGGGTCAGGTCAGGTCAGGTCAACCGGTAGGGGTTGTGACGGGTATTCGTAATACGTGTCAACCGCCTCTGACAGCTTCGTAACATGTTACGAAGGCACCAAAACTACTTCGTAAATGTTCAAATGGTTGCTAAATTCGAATCCAGCTCCAAAAACTAGCCTGGAAACATGTAAAACTCGAAAAAGTGAACCGAGGTCACTCGCGGTCACCAAAGGTCAATGACCTGACCTGACCTTCAGGTGACCTTGACACCCACCCTAACCCTCGCCGGCACAGGGAGGGGTTGATGCAACCCCCCTAAGGTTTTTCGCGAATAACTCGCGTAAAAAGCGGCCGATCGCGACGAAACTTTCAGTACCCTCGCATTGATCAATTTTACACCTACCCTGAAAATTTCATGACCCTGACCCAAATGACCTTTGACCTGTGACCTCTTTTCCGAGACCATGTTTGGCCGGAATCGCGATTCGGCGTATGTCGGCTCGCATTAGCCGCGCGTTTGCAAGCTTTTCGTGGTTTCAAACGTTCAAACATGTGATTTGATGTTGCTCCCATACATTAGGGTGGGTGTCAAGGTCACCTGAAGGTCAGGTCAGGCCATTCACCTTTGGTGACCTCGGGTGACCTCGGTTCACTTTTTCGAGTTTTGCCTGTTCCTAGGCTAGTTTTTGGAGCTGAATTCGAATTCAGCAACCATTTGAACATTTACGAAGTAGTTTTGGTGCCTTCGTAACAAGTTACGAAGCTGTCAGAGGCGGTTGACACGTATTACGAATACCCGTTACAACCCCTGCCGGTTGACCTGACCTGACCTGACCCGACCTGGTCTAAATGCTTAAAGACATCATCTCTGATCAAAACTAACACGATATTCGTGATCAGCGCCCCGGAAAACCACATAGCAGCCACTCTTTACGACTTTCTAACAGGTCTCGATTTTCCCGGTTTTCGGGTCATTGACCTGACCTGGAAGGTAACCCGATGACCTAGGACCTTAAAATTGGGTATCAACGGCTTCGTCTCGTGACGGGCAACACGCTCGTTTTTTCCGCGAAGCTCTAGCTCGATCAGGGGCCAAACGCGAGGAGGGGTCGTACCAACCCCCCCCCCCTCCCCCTTGTGCCGTCGAAGGACGCAAAATCGCCTGTGCCGGCGAGGGCTAATGTATGGGAGCAACATCAAATCACATGTTTGAACGTTTGAAACCACGAAAAGCTTGCAAACGCGCGGCTAATGCGAGCCGACATACGCCGAATCGCGATTCCGGCCAAACATGGTCTCGGAAAAGAGGTCACAGGTCAAAGGTCATTTGGGTCAGGGTCATGAAATTTTCAGGGTAGGTGTAAAATTGGTCAATGCGACGGTACTGACAGTTTCGTCGCGTTCGGCCACTTTTTACGCGAGTTATTCCCCCTGTGCCGGCGAGGGTTATTCTCTGCAGCCCTCCCAAGTAGTGAATGGTTGGTTGCCAACTTGCCAACGTCACAATCGTGTATTGATTTGTAAGTACTATGTGGGTTGTTGACAAACATTGCCTAAGTGCCCGAACGAAACCTCTTCTCATTTGTACTAAGCCATTTTACTGGAGCATCTCTATCATGTAAAGTTATTATCTGAAAAACACACATCCGCTGACCAACCATTGTCTACTCATTTGCTGGAGGGGCGTGTGTCCTCCCAAACGCGCGCACGCACACATTCCAATCCGAAACGCGAGCCCACCGCGCTCAGTTGTATGGCCGTGACAGGTCTTTAGCCGCTGACCGGTCAGGTGAACACGCACCACATCCGGTGTAGAACACGGCGCGGTGTCAGCTGCTCACGGAGATGGCCCGGCCGACCCGCGGCACCGTGTCAGCGCTCGGCAGGCCACGTTAGACCCGCTGCGGCCACGTGAGATGTGCCGTGGACACGTGTCACGGCGGCCCGTCTCAGGTTCCGGAGGAGAGGTCTGCCAGTCAGCGCCGCTCGTCAGTCAGCGGGTAGTCTGTCTTTGAGATTGGAGCTGCTGAGCTCGGCATGTTGGGTGTGTCGCGCTGCGCTAAAGACTTGTAGTGGACTTGGTGACCTGAGCTGGACCAGAAGCGACAACTGCGGGTGGGGTGATATCTATGTACCAAAATCTTATTCACTCGATTTTGTTAACATTTCGTCGCTGTTTTCAAGCTCAATCGATCGAGGACAAGTAAAACAACTGAGAAGTAAGATGCCAACATAAAGTAAGAGGAAAAATGAGGGTACGCTGTACTGACATTGCCGCTCACCCCTTCATCGCCGCTCCTGCCACCATAAGAGCACTTCTGATACAACCGGCGCCTGCACCTGGCGGTCGCCTGCCGTCCGATCCCTAATCCCGTCACCGGGCCATGTTGTGTCACCGTGTTGACGACTGCAGCCCGCCGCCGGCGACCGTCATATCGCTCACCCCTGCGCCTGCCCGGTGACGGGAGCCGATAATTAGTCGGTGACGTCCGGCCCAGCGACGAGCTGTTTACCGACCGGACCGGCGCGGCAGCTGTCGCAGCCCGACCCGACCAAAATAGCTCTCGGTCAGCGCCTGGCCCCGCCACTGACTCGCCTGCTTTTGTGCGCGATATGACCGGCTTCTATCCATTCCTCCACTTCATGAGAGGACAGGATAAAAGAGGGAAGTGATGGAGAGGGAAATGATTAAAGGTGACTGCGAAACGACTTCCGGTAGGTACTTCCGGTACTAAGGGATACAGCCTGAGAATTAATGGTCGAAACCATGATGCGACTCATACGCGCCGTTTCGTCAGTGCAATGTGAATGCACGTTATACGTGACGTACATTTGCTCCTTGTGTGACCCTTGTGTGATGTAGATGTGGGTCACTACTCAGTTCCTCCGTGCTTTCGTATTTAAGCACAGACACTCGCTTTCAAACACTTCACACACCAGCAATAGGTGAAAACATTCACGCGTTTTCAAGCCACACCTCTATATGTCCCGAATCTGTACATACATCATTCATGTCCACATTAGCGCTAACTCTAATAAGCAGCACTGAATGCATGAAAACACACAATGGAATACCACAACACTGGAATATAGTTGTCCCGCTTACGGCGGCCTTCCAGACAGCCGTCGTATCCTCTTGCCTTCTTCCATTTGCCGCTGGAACGGCACATACTTTTGGCTTTTTAGCGTATGATCGAAAATGGCCATTGCAGTGGGCCCTTCGAAGATGGACTTGCGGGTCGTTTGCTGCGGTCCCAGACCCAACAGAGCTCCAGAGGGGGCGATGGTGGGACGCGGCTCCTGGCCGGCGTCGGGCGCCGGGCCGACGCGGGACCCGGAGGGCGCCGTCACCACGAAGGACGCTGCCGGCAGGGCCGCCTCCGAGGGCGGCGCGATCGTCAGCTCGATGTCACCTCGCCACTTGTCAGGCTCAGCATCGGCCGCCTCGATGAGCAGACTTGTGTCCAGACCCAGGCACCACTTCCGAGTCGGCTGCAGCGCCTGCCACACGCCGTCCTTTCGAAAGTTGTACACTTGGAAAATGAAAAAGCCCAGCACGACCAGGAAGGGGTAAAAGGCAATTATGGCGCCAAGCATGTGCCACGCGTCTGCTTCATCTTCGCCGGCCAAATGGTTGTTGCTGTCGTCTTCTCTATTGAATGCTACCCACAGTAGCAAGAAGGGAGCTACAATGTTCCACGAGAGAGCCCAGTAGGGTCGCGATCCTCCCAGCTTCATGCCCATTTCTTCCTCCACGAGATCAAGTACGCTGCCGCTGCCGTAGAACACGCAGATGACGATGGTCTGCAAAGCGGCAATCACAAACGACATGTCCACGTGACCCCTCACATCCGTCACGTCGAGGACAAGCGTGCCACCTTTCGCCACGAATATGATACTGGCCGTGAAGCCCAAGATGCAGGTGACTATGTTGTACTGGTAGATGGAGAGGTTGGACGCTGTCTTCTCCGCGTCACCGTGGTGGTTGGTCAGTGAGTTGAAGATGTCTTTTCCGTCATATGTGGTCATTCCAATAACGGCAGCGAGATAGCCAAAGCTCATCAGAACTGTTGACGCGTAGCTCAGACAAACATACAGCCGTGGGAAGTTGAGCGAAGTTAGAGTTCTCGGCATCGTGTCAAACAAAATGTTTGTTTCTGAATCCATGAGTTCCTCTACCGACACTTCTGACACATGTGCCAGGTGACCAATAACCGCGAAGAAGCCCAAACCACTGACTAATGAGACAAGAGTGTCAATGCAAATGATAGCCAATGAGGTTTTTAAACAGTTCTTGTATGGTTTGCTTGCACTCGAAATGGCGGTCAGCAATCCCAAACCTAAACTCAGTGAACTGAAGCATGTTTTGATGGAATCTATCCATACATCCGTGGTGATAAGGGCAGACCAGTCGAACGTCAAGTATGCTTGTATGCCTCCCCCAGCGCCCGTTAGGCAGAACGCCTTAGCGTACAGGGCAAACTGTCCCAGAAGGGGCGCAAACGTGGTGAGATAGGCACTTTTTGCGGTTGTCGAGAATCCGTTGTAGCCGAGCAGATACGTCATTAGCCAGCAAAATCCGAGACAGAAGAACATTGGCCAGTGCACAGCACCGAGCTGTGCAAGAGATGCATCTTCCAGATTGAGCACCTGGCGGAAGTAAAACTCGGCTTCCGGGGTACGGCGAGTTATCACATGGTCAAATGGCACAGAGGAACCGTTCTTCAGTGTGCAGTTTTCGCCAGTGGAAGTCATGCCCAGTACTTGCGCACATATATCGGCGATGCTCGTGCAGCTGCGATTATAATAAACATAATCACTTCCAAGGGTTTGACAGTAGGCATCATCCGCTTGGGTATAACAACCGGCGTCATTTTTCTCTTCACACACTGCCCATGGAATAACGTTTCTCATTGTGTTCACAAGCATAAATAAGATTCTTGCCATATCCATTTCACTTCGCATAAATGAAAGAAAATTGTTGATGACCAGCGCGTATCCAATGCCAACAAAAGCTGGAACCAGCTCGTTCATGACAGCCACTGTCCCGTGACCGCTGTACTGGCCCAGCAGCGTCTCGAGAAAATAAAGTGGCATGCCCATGAAGATGACGGTAATCAAATACGGTATAAAAAAGGCCAGGCCACCGTGCCTTTTACACAGCTGTGGAACACGAACAAAATTTGCTAGCCCAATGACGCACGCCATAGACACCATAGAAAAGTCGAAATTGGTCGCCCAAGCGAAGCGGCTTTCTTCCCTTTCTTTTGTAGCCGTTTTGAATATGGACGTTCGCAGGTCCGGATTGACTGATCTTCGTTGCGGCATGTTTGATCTTGAGGCTTGTAAGAACTGCCTCATGGACATCTTCGTGCTTGATGGCCCAACAACGCTGCTGGGTACTCCCTGGGACAGAAAGGAAAAACATATAGTAAACATTGTCGTCATAACATTACGTATTTTAAAGGTTCTATTAGACCTATTGCTATACAATAAAGGTAAATCGAAAATGCACATAAATAGGTATGCTTTACTGTTCCTGTCTATGTAAATTCAATTACATTTATGGAATATCTAGCATTAGGTTGAGGTATGTTGAAAACACTTTTTTTAGAAGAGAATAAAGACTTATATCGTATTTCGTAACATATCGTAACTTCCCAACTTATATTGAGTTTGTTACTGAAGTGACTCGTACTTATTCGAGCTTGTAGAGAGCAGTCGGATTTATTTTACTTAGGCCCAGAAGGTCCATGGGCGTTACACATTTCTTTTGATTTTAATCGACCAGCACAGCGCTCATGGGGTTTCCAGCCCCATGCGCGGAACGGAGAGACGGGATAAAGTAAAAAGTTATCCCTGTCGACTACGAAGCCTTTAGCTGTAGAGTTACAGAGGACGGCAGGCAATTGCAATCTCAGTGAAATGATGCTTATAGAATGGTAGACCAAATACAATTCTCTTATAATTGAATTCGAGAGGTCAAAATTAGGATTAGGTACAATTTTAACTCACCCCTCAGCAAAGCTCGCCCTTACATGTAAGACATAAAAATACATAGAGGCACGGGTGGAGAATGTTTGAAAAAGTTACCCCGGCCGGCGACCGAAAGTCAGAAAGACGATGATGCTCAAATATTTGTCAACGGTTATCAACAAACCCCTATTCTGTGGCATAGAATAATGGATGTCTGCGTACGTTTTTAGGGAAAACTGCTGCACGCAGGTGCGGAAGATTTCGTAACTGTAACAACAATTTTGCAACACGCCTTAAAATTTCGGACGCATGTCACCTAGTGCTAGGTCAGGTCATCAGGTCAAATTTGCTGGATGATCGTGCTAAAAATGCCATCATGCCCTTTGCAAAGCTTATTCCGTGGAACTTGCAACCTCCCCCACAAAACAAAATGTCAAATTTGACCGTTTTGACCCTCTTATTGATTTGAGCTCGCACCTGAAATATTATTCGCAACCGAGCCTTAAACGAGTAATCGAATGTTTTGTTTGCAGTGTTTAAGCTCCGTTATGTTCATGAACTGTGAGAAAAGTTGTCGGAGAACGCTAAAATCAGAGAAATTTGGCTTTTGATGATCTATGATGATTTTATAATTGAGCTTGCCTAAAACATGACCAGATTTCTCTAGTCACGTTTGTCGCTCTTTCAAACGTCGTTCCGCTTCTCGCCTCGTAGCCCAGCAGCCGAGTTAGAAGGAGTGTGAAAAGCCCACCTCTCGACTCAACGTGTTACGATTAGGCCACCACCCTGGCGCGGGTTAAGTTGGAGGAGCCTTGAGCCCCAGCAGCTCGTCCTTCTATCTCACTGATATTACACGGCCCTTAAATATGATTTACTTCTGTTTGATGAAACATGTCGGGCTCCGCGATGAAAAGACTTAAAAACATCAAGCTCCAAAATGAAAATAAAGTAAATTTTCACGAACTTTTCAAGGTAGATAAGAATAATGAGAGACACTTTTATAGATGGCAGTTTTTTCGTATGGAGACAGCTTTTAGGATTTACAAAAGTGGAAAAAGTTACCCCGGCCGCGCCGGGGTCGGCTGAAAGTTACCCCGGCCACGGCCGGGGTGGCCGGGGTAGGTTCTCCACCCATGCATAGAGGGTAATGTGGAACCGTGCGAGTAGTGAGTACTTCACCTGAATGGGAGGGAGACGTATGGGCGCCGTGGATGCAGAAGACCTAACCACTGCTGGTGGCGTTGCCTCAATTTTCTGCTTGCTCTTTGTTCTGCTTTCTTCATCAATAGCCGCGTCCTGTTGGCCCTCATTTTCAGTTGAAATTCTGGGGTTACTGTCCGTTTGTTTTTCCTCCGCACCTTCACCTTGATTTATGTTTCTTTCTGAGTTATTTGAAATGTGCTCAGTCAACTTCTCTGCGCCCTTGAGTTCATCACCTTTGACTTCTGTTTCTCCTTCATTGTCTCCTATAACGCTGTTGGTCTCGGAGCTTGCCATTGCTGAATGGGTAAAAACGGACTATTTTACTGTTTATTGTTGTACATAATTATTATGTCCAAGCATTGTATCACCTTCAGACGGCTTATAACTTTTTCGCATTAAGATAAACGTTTTTGCTTGTGACGAAATCTTTTGAACAAACGAATCCAATTAGATAATAACAGGAACATCACAATATGCATTTAAACGTTGTTTTGATCAAAGCAAAAATGGTGGACAAATTGCCAACATGAATATTGAAAAAATAGTAAGTTCACGTGACGAAATTCTCGCCGTCTGCTGGTATGGGCTGGACATTTCGAACTGCATTTTACAATGTACGAGTACATACATGTACTGTATATAAGCTCAAGTAAATAAAAGTCAAGTCGAACATTTATTGCGCGTCGTATCGTTCTGAAGCTTCGCTTTTCGAAGGCAAATGAGACTCCAGTTTCACAGTGCTGTATTCTGGAATCGTGGCATTTAAACCGTTTATGGTATTTTTACTCGGGACATCTGAATTTCATGGATCTCGGCCATTGATCGGGGGACCCAGTGAGCCGGGCCGGCCTCCACCGCCGCGACACAGCGTTCCCAGACGAGCGATGGTGCATTGTGTCGCACTTCTGGCGCAGTATCGCCGGCTGCGGTGGCGGATGGAAGCCAATGGCCGCCTCCACAGCATCCTCAGACCGGCTCTTCCCCCGATGAATTCGCGGAACAAGGGTGGAGTGGGACCATGGCCGAGCGATCATGTCGGAAAGTTTGAATTTAAAATGCCGGGTTGTTTTATGAGAATATGCATCAAACGTTGCTAAAATTGTTGGTTGATATGATATGTCTTGGCGTTTGCGCAGAGGGAGTTATATAATACGGTTCACTTTAGGCTTTTTTTCATAACTTTATGCGTAAAATATTGACGACTAGGCTTCAGGACAACGTATGCTCAGGAGGAGCCAGTCAGAGCGCGTTCCAACAGCGCGCAAACCGCCATGGCATCTGGACTCCATATCGTATGAACGCAGCGTTCCAGGGCTAGATTAATATTTACGCACACGCCCTTCGGTGTCCCCCCCCCCCTCCCCCCCCCACTACACTAAATCCCCCGTTATGTAATCATGCCGGCTCCCTCCAGTAATGCTCGGGGATCGGGACATTACTGCAGCACGCAGCTGTTTCCCGGCTGTCGGGGCTCCATATGGCTAGCTGTCAGTATCCAGATCCGGTCAGCAGTCCGGCCTGATCAGGGCGGGCTCACAGGCATACAGACAGATCCGACCTTCATTGTGCCTCCTGGTTAGCTGCTGCTCTTCGCCCCCATGTCACACGCCTACGCTACGCTAATCCGCGAGAGGTGGCATACGCACACAAAGCAGCTGAGGGTGTGGAGGATGGGAAGGGAATGAGGGCTATGGGATGGAGGGGCACACACAATTGGCCGTCAGAGGAAATAGAACCGTCATGTCCGTCTGGCAGAGATATTGCAGGTTTATTGACATGAAACGGGTTGTGATGGTTTTTGTGCATGAAAATTGCTTGATGCAAATGGTGTGTATTTTTAAAGACTTTGATATTTTACATTCATAGCTCACCATAAATGAAATGTGAAGATCCAAGCATTAAGCATAACGAATAATTGAGACAGTCATTGGAAATCTCCTGTGCAAGTGCTAGGGAATCGGGTGCTTCTTTTTCTCCCGGGGCTTTTCAACCAACCGAGAACTCACATACAGGGCTGCGGAGTCGGAGTCGGAGTCGGAGTCGGAGTCGGTCGGAGTCGACAGTTGTGACCGGAGTCGGAGTCGGAGTCGGAGTCGATTTTAGAAACCCGAGCCGGAGTCGGAGTCGGAATCACCGAAAATCCGTCGACTCCGCAGCCCTGCTAGGTCTGCGGAGTCGGAGTCGGGAGTTGGAGTCGGTCGGAGTCGACAATTCTGCCCGGAGTCGGAGTCGGAGTCGGAGCTGTTTTTTGAAAGCCGGAGTCGGAGTCGGAGTCGGAGTCGCCGAAAATCCATCGACTCTGCAGCCCTGCTCACATATGCTTTGAATTTGTCGAGGTTTATGCTTCCCTGCATCACAAAGTTGCATGAACTTTGGAATCCATGGTTATCTATATTAGCTAAGCAATTGGTTTAACACTCGCCGGCACAGGCCATTTTGCGTCCTTCGACGGCACAATGGGGGGGGGGGGAGTTGGTACGACCCCCCTCGCGTTTGGCCCCTGATCGAGCTAGAGCTTCGCGGAAAAAACGAGCGGGCTGCCCGTCACGATAAGAAGCCGATGGTACCCAATTTTAAGGTCCTAGGTCATCGGGTGACCTTCCAGGTCAGGTCAATGACCCGAAAACCGGGAAAATCGGGACCTGTTAGAAAGTCGTAAAGTGTGGCTGCTAATTGCTATGTGGTTTTCCGGGGTGCTGATAACGAATATCGTGTCAGTTTTGATCAGAGATGATGTCTTTAAGCATTTAGACCAGGTCGGGTCAGGTCAGGTCAGGTCAACCGGTAGGGGTTGTGACGGGTATTCGTAATACGTGTCAACCGCCTCTGACAGCTTCGTAACATGTTACTAAGGCATCAAAATTACTTAGTAAATGTTCAAATGGTTTCTAAATTCGAATTCAGCTCCAAAAACTAGCCTAGAAACATGTAAAACTCGAAAAATTGAACCGAGGTCACCCGAGGTCACCAAAGGTCAATGACCTGACCTGACCTTCAGGTGACCTTGACACCCACCCTTATGTATGGGAGCAACATCAAATCACATGTTTGGACGTTTGAAACCACGAAAAGCTTGCAAACGCGCGGCTAATGCGAGCCGACATACGCCGGATAGCGATTCCGGCCAAACATGGTCTCGGAAAAGAGGTCACAGGTCAAAGGTCATTTGTGTCAGGGTCATGAAATTGTCAGGGTAGGTGTAAAATTGATCAATGCGAGGGTACTGAAAGTTTCGTCGCGATCGGCCGCTTTTTACGCGAGTTATTCGCGAAAAACCTTAGGGGCGTGCATAGGGGGGTTAACCCTCGCCGGACCCCCGTGCCGGCGAGGGTTAACAAACCTATCATACACCGCCTAAGGTTAACAGGGTGTGTGATAAAGTAGACATCATCAGGCTGACTTACTAGACCTCGTCCCTTTATCTGACCCTCACATTTCATCTGCATTTCACATCTTTGTTCCGTAGCATTCCCAGCCCCCAAACAAATCGTTGTGGTAACGACTCAAGTCAGTGCGTTATGCATCACCTTTTCGCCGACCCTGAAAAACATGATCGCCACCTACCGCGCTTCACAAAACTCTCCTCTCTGCCCTTCCTCGGTGAAGCCTGGGCTCCTCTGGTATCGCCTTAGCATCTACGCCTCGCCGCCTTGAGCTCTCCGTAGTCATTTGTCATGGCACATTCCTGCTACATACCCCATTCGCAGCGGCCGCAGGCACTGCCTCCGCGTCCCGCCGCCCTGTCCGTTACCATGGAAACGCCACAGAAAGAAGTGACACAATGCGCTAGCCCGCTGGGAGCGGCTCTCCTCAGATTTACTTCATATTTTGTAGCATTGTGCCATTTGGCCTTTTTGTGGTGGACAGTCACCACGGGCGGGCTTTGTAGGGTGGTTTTTCTCGGCGGTTTTTTAGCGGCCGCGATTAGCTTGGTCGAATTAGCGGCCAGGTAAGCGGGGGAGCTCACGGAGCTTCAAACCGTGTGAGAATCGCACAGGTGGCCGTGGAGTTCAAGGTGATGAGTCCCGTTGACGGCTGCCTCGTCTCTTCTCCCCCCCCCCCCCCCACACACACACCTTTTGGTGGTTGCATTGCACTTGGCATGCGTGAGCTGACCAACCTTTTAAATTTACAGATACTTATGTTTCACTGACTGCTGGGCACAATGTTATGAAATGATGGAATCAAGAGTTTCAGTCATCTGCGAGTGATGAAGTTACATGACTTTTGGTTTCTAAACCAAGGGCGGCGCCACCGTGGGGGCAGTGGGGGCAGGCTGCCCCCACTGACAGGAGGCCGTGGGGGCAAGACTATGTTTTTGCCCCCACAAAAATTGGCTGATGTGGAAAAGGGAACGTAAGACCGGTGCAACATTCATGATAGGCGGTTATAATAGTACGCTTGTTTTTGACGGTCCCCGTATCAAGTGCATCAGCAGAAAGTTCGTTCTCAGACCGTCTGTTGCATATCTCCTACTCCCACTCATTCTTCTACTCATTTTGATCCACCAGAAGGCTGCCATGTGATAGGTATGTATATGTTACAGGCCGTATGAAAACTCAGTCCGTTTGCAAACGGCCTGGCCCGATTCAGGCCGTTTGCAAATGGCCTGGACAGCCCAGTCAGTATGCAAACGGACTGAAAAGTCAGGCTGTTTGAATACGGGCTGAAATTCCAGGCTGTATGCAAACCGCCTGAAATTTCAGGCCGTTTGCAAACCGTCTAGGCCGTATGACAACTTTCCAGACACCAGGCCGTTTGCAAACGGTCTAGGCATTTTGAAAACAATCTGGTCTGCATAAAGTTACAGCTGGACAATGTTGAGTTTGTTGAAGCACGACCGTTTCATCATGCCCCCACTGGCGAAAATTCGTGGCGCCGCCACTGTTCTAAACGCAGTATTTCCCACAGTTACTGTCACCGATGGGAAAGAACGACCTTGACAGAACCAGAGACGTTGCTGTCATATTGACTCATTTGTCATTTGACCAAAAGTAGTTAAATAATTTCCCTGATTCTCTGCCCCATGCCAGCTCCCTTCCCAAGAACGAACGCTGCTGTCTCTTTTACATCCTAGCGCAGTCCAGATCGGAGCTGCTATTGATGACTTCTTAGAACTTTTACAGCATAATTAAGCGCGATCGTGCAGTGAGCTGTTAATTTGGGTCACATATCCGTCAATTTGAGCCGGTTAGTTCCGGAACGCTCTGCATTTGATTGCCGCGAGGATAATTCCAAACGAGAGGATCTGCATCTGATTGTTCAACAGATTAGCTTTCATTCATCCCTCTTCTGTCAGGACTGTTATCGCGCCATCACCATCGGAAAGGCGACTCTTGAAACCAATCGGTCTGGGAAACCATCCATAACTCGGGACAGCTCCAAATCTCCACCGAGACGAGTGAAAAATGACGAGAAGAGTAATAAGAAGGAATGGTCTATTGTGAAAATATCAAGAGCGGGCGCGTGTTTGTCTGCGAAATGGAGACGTTCGGTTTCCATCGCTTCTGGCGGCGCTGTGCCCGCTCCCGCCCA